TTTAGGGCAAGATTTTTAAAAGCAGCTAGTGGATTTGTTTGGTCAAAATGAGTCGCCTTGAAGATGCTCACCTTTCAAGGGGCATTGAACTCAGGGCACTAAACCCACCCCCATCCCTTTTTCAGGGGCTCCTGCTGGGCACTCAGGCCTCAGCTGCCCCACGTCCAAGGTTAGCTGTTGCTTTGGGAATTTTTAGATGCTTCACTGGTAATTTCTGAAACTTTGATGCAAAAGACAGTGCCTCTTCCCTTGCAGACTACTTGAGTGCCTCTGCGATGAGAAGATGACACGCCACTTACTGCAGCTCCACAGACACCGTAGTGGTTGGCAGACCTCCGGGTAGGAGTGATTGCGCTGGTGTTTTATTAGCTCTTGGAAAATATATAGCAGGGAGGAGGCTGTGCAGGCTCCTGCAAGGCCTCCCTGAGCTCTGACCCCTCGGGCAAGAGGCTAGATTGCTTCTACAGCCAGTACTTAACCTTGCTGCTGAGACTTGTCAACAAGGAGGCCAATTAGCAGCAGATACGATGGTGGATGATATAATGCAGATGTCTGTTTGTTAGGAGCACAACTGATATATTTTTAACACAACATGTATTTTAAAACATGGCTCTCCATAAATGATGCCATCTCCTGCAAAATAATCCCCCTCTACAGTGAAGTGTTACAGAAAATTTTAGGTTTTTTTTTTCCCGAAGTCTTTTCTTAAGCCTTATTCTGCTGGGCTCATGATGACTATGGCAGGTATAGGATTATAAGAAATAATTCTGCTTGAAAAAATGTCCACTTTTAAGTTAATTATTATTTTCTAACATATATGGCCTATTAAAAATATACATAGCTGCAGAATGGAAACGGGGCAGTTCTTGCTGCCCTGAGAGGGTCAATACACAAACTGAGATGTTTTCTATCACCACGCGTGTATATTGGTGCACGTATCAGAAAAGACAGCTTAGGAAAAGTTGAGGTAATTGACTAAAATTGTGCAGGTCTACGAGCACATTATAGCCACCTGCTGCAAAGGACAGTGTCTCTTTATCACATACCAGCATGTGACACTGATACCCCTATTTGGGTGCACATAGGGTTCTTCTGTCAGATGTGTGGGTTTTGGTAAAGCTAGAGAGGCGGATTGCATGAGGATGGTTGATGTTTTGGTTGACATTAGGCCTGAGCTTTAAAACAAAAGTTCACAGTAAGACTCAAGGGCTGGAGCTACTGCAAGTCTTGCACTTGACTGCTAGCTGACTACTTATGCAGGCAGGATAATTCAGTCCTCTGCTCAGCCCCCTCCTAGAGACATCGAGACACTGTCAAAAGAGCCGAGTGCTTCCAGAGAGAGACAGCCGCGTCCCCTTTCCGCTGCCAGCCAATGTACTCTTTGACTCACTCCCTGCATCTTCTCTGCTTATTTAACTGAACATTTAAACCTACATCTTAAACCATTGTCTCAATTAAATGAACGGTTACAATAATTTATGCCAGAACTGTAGCATTTTACGCAAGCAGAGGTCTGTTTTAAAACCATCAAGATATAATCAGGGCTTGATAGATCAATCTCTGAAATACCTTTCAGAATTAGAGAATTTGCATGATTTGTCTTTTAATTGCTAGAATAACTATTTATGTCTAGTGCAAAAAAACCCACATAGAGTATCACTGTATATTTTCTATTACAGATATAGTGCAAGAGGAGAGAAAGACCACCTCCTCTTGCAGATGACCTACCAACCCTATGTCAAAGCTAGAGATGCCTTCCCTTCACCTAGTCACCAGCAAAAGGAGGAGCAGAGGATTCAACACACAAGCTGTTAACAGCACTGCGTATGCTAACAAGGTACTGACAGAGGCCCTGAAAATTAGTATCCGCAGCCCAGCAGGAATAACCGTAAGAATTTTTCAGTTGATTGGATCTTAACACTGCCCTGAGGGCAAAGGGCAAGCCACATGTATTTAATGTTAACATTAATTTATCTGAGGATAATTTTTATAATCTAATGAATGCCCAGATTGGTTTTTTTTCCTTGGTTAGTGTTTAAACACTCTAACTTCCTTTTAGGATGTTAAGTATCTTTTCTTGTTCAGTGGAGCGAATAGTATCTTTGCTTCTTGGAAATTTGTCTGCTCTTAGGGTCTCCTTCTTTAGCCTCCTCTGTGCATGTTAATTATTTCATTAATCTTTGGGGAAAAAAACCAGCTTTTTTTTCAAATGCTGACAAAATGTGTACATGATACTTTACAATAAAAAACCCAAGACTTCCACTACAAGCTTGTAATGCACAGTGTTCCTTTATGCATTGTGTAGCTCCTCTGTAAGGAAAGAGTTCTCCTGATTTCACTGGGGCTACTCCCAAGTAAGGCCAGGTTCAACAAGCTACTGCTTAAGGATCCAATTTTTGAACTGCAGGGCTGAGGAGGGTGAGGCCAGAGAGCTCCGTCATCCTCCTACTGAGCAGACTCCTCAGAAGAGGCGTTACGCCCCTTGCAGAATTGACCTGGCAGGTTGGTACAAGTACAGAGCCTGCAGAGAGAAGTCCTGTAGCCATCCTAGGAGTTATCTGCTGTATTTCTTCATCAGTAGCTTTCCTTTTCAATTTCAACCATTGATAACATCTCACCTTTTTTCTTCCTACCTTCTTGTCTTGTAGGAGAATCCTTTCCCCCTCCCTCCAAGTCAAGCCTAAATCTATTTAAGGTGAGAAAGGAGAGGAAGGAAAACCAAAAAGAAACAAGAGTATAGCCAACCTTTTTAATTAGAGTATATTGTACTTCCAAACTGGATACACTAGAAATTGGCAATGCAACGTAAGATGCAAAGAAATATACCAGTTACTGTCAAAATGACCCTGTACAGCCTTATAATGCAAAAAGCTTTATACAATACAAAGTTTTATTAATGTACACAAACCTTGACAGAATGATATTTGAACAAAATACAACAAGTAAAAAAAAAGACAGAAGAAAGAAAAAAGTGCTGAGAACTTTAACTGAATTACCAAATGGAAAAACACACTAGCTTTTGTTAAAGAATGCATAGTGAAAACCAGTATGAAATTACCTTTATGGTGGGGGGGGAATTTATCAGAACTGTTGGTCATTAGTCGGTAGGGGAACCTCTGGAGAACATTCCTTTCTTTAGCCTTGAACTGCAAACCAATTATTTTAATATGCATGAGCTCTGATAAATAGTGTATTTTTTTTTCTTAAAAAAATAAAAACCTCCTAACACACTTTTCCTTACAGAGAATACTTCTATAACTTGCCAGAAAGAATTAATTTATCCTTTCCAAAGTGCTAAACAAATTTCCCAGGTACATTGAACATTACTATTTCAGTGGAACATTGTCAAACATGTGGCGGTTGCATGCTGACAGCTCATTCTTAGAAGTTCCAGCCCTATTTAAACTGCTGTTTGGTTTACGTAAAGCGTCCTGCTAATATTCCTACTTCTTCCTCCTAGACAGCTGTACTTTACCTGTCGGTTTGGAAAATAAGCTTTTTGATTTGGACGTGTTTGCTCTTCTATGGTGGGGTCAGAGATATACGCATTGAATGTATTTTAAAGAACTGGTATAGTTTCTGGATGCAGATTGCATATTTCATGCTGTCGAGATACTCAATTTTTTTATGCTTTGAGTATTTATTAATACACCATTTTCTATGTTGTCTGTACTCCGGGGGTGGGGAGTTACCAGCGAGTTCTGATGGAGTAAAGCATGGCAAACAGGGCCCTGAGTTACGTAGGTTGTTTACAAAGGTTATACATACTTTGGAACAGATGGCTTTTCTTTACTGTGGAGACAGACAGAACTGCCACATGCTCGTTAGAACCAAAACTGTCTGCTGGAATGTAAACAAAGTGGTGGGACTTTTCTGTCCTTTAATTAATAATTCCAAATGATAATCTGCTACTATTTTGGATATTTCCCCCTTGCAAATAGCTTCCAGTATGTTAACAGGAGTGCACAGATCAGGATGTCCTCTCCCAACAGGAAGAGTTTGGTCATGATAATGGAGAATGTTTGGCCATCTCAGTGCAAAACAAATGTAGGAATCTTGCAAACAGGTTAAAGGATGCAAGTTTTGCATCAAAAAAGTATTTCTACACAAGCTTCATTTAAGAGCTAATGAAAATTGAGTTATGTTTCTAGTTGTGCATATGGCTAAGAGCCCTTGTGGACCAGAAGTGCCTTCCTGAACTGGGGCGTTGCTTTAGTGCTGTCACGAACAAGGGGTTGGCTCCAACTGGCCTGTTGGATTCCCCCCGTCCCACAACAACCTGCAGAAGAAGTTCCTTCAGGGCAGCATGAGGGTGGGTGGATAGCACGGTAGATGTGACTCAGGGCACCTCCTACAGTGGCTCGGCCAAGGGACAGAGAGGGGACTCTGACAAAAGCTAGGTCAGACATTTCTAATACCTGGTGAAAGACGGCGAGATTCGAATCCAAGAGACACTATGGAAAACAATAATCCAGTAAGAAAGCATTCCTGTAAGTCACATGGTAATTTTGAAATGTTTCATATTTTATACTTCCAATTTTAATGCAGACTATTTTTAATCCTGATCTTTCTTCCTGGATATTAAGTTATCTAAGAAACAAAAGTCAATTAACAGTCGGTTAGCTTCTCTTAAGATCACTCTTGGCATTTTGAGATTAACAAAGGTTATACAACCAATCCGCATTTGCTTTTTCCTGCAATAAAGTGCTACATACATGTCATTTTAATGACCACAAGTAGGAGTGTTAAATAAGTATAAAGTTAGCTTCCTAGCAGAGTGTACACTCTATCTGCCTTTAACAAAAAGGAACAAAGTATTACTAATAACATGAAGGGTAGCGGTAGGACTGTAGAATTTGCAAGTACAATTGAAATACTGAGGGTATAAAAGAGAACTGTATGGTTCAAACAGCATCTTTTTATAGCTTTATATTTCAAAGAAGTTACTGGTACCTTTTCAAATAAATGGTCGTCTTACCTTCAGCCCACAGATTTTTTTTTCTTTTTTTTTTGCAAGTGAGAAACAAACTAGTGCAAGACTAAAGCACTGTGCAAAACTGCCTTTTTTTTTTTAGTCTGAGTATTTATACCCAGAATTTATCCATACCCTTTTTTTTAATCCCCTTGTTGGATTTTTTCCACCATAGAATTCTAGTTATACAAGTTGTTCCTGCAAACTAAAAGGTAACCACTGCATAATACAGTATATATATATATATATATATAATATTTATATGCCCTTTTAAAACAAAAGATGTATGCTATGGCCCAGACGCAGGTGTTTGTTTGCTACACCTGTGTAACAGTTAAGAATTGGGCCTGCTGTGTGGGTGTGTAGACTGCACACACTACATACACGCATATGTGTGTGTACATACACACGCTTTTCATTGTCATATTGTCATCCTGCAGTGCTGAAAGCAACTTTTTCCTCATCAGTTCTACCCCAAATCCTCAAACCTTGACAACTGAGTGCAAGGCATCAAACAACTAAAGGAAGCTGCAAACAGCACTGAAATAATACACCAATTCACCCTGAACCAAGCGTTAATCCTTCCACAACTCTACAGTTCAGGGGGAGATGGAGGGAAGGGAGGGAGCAAGTGTGTGAAAAGGGGAAAAGAATAATAATTAAATAAGCCAATATAAGGGATGTGCAAAAGCAATGTCATGGCACGCTACAGGCAGATTCTCTTTCACGCACCCGCACGCACGCAAAGCCCCAAAAATAAAATGCATCAATATGTAATCTTACAAGTGCTGATTGCCATTAAGGACACTCTTTTTCAGCTTAACAAGACAAAATAGTTTCTTAGATAAGAGTACTGGGAACATGCCTCTGAAGGTAGAAGTATGCAGTAGGTCACCTCTTGAAGATTTAATAAAGCAGCTTTCATGTCAATGCAGTAAGTATACACACAGAGCCATTTTCTAAACCTTACTAATGATATAGTACAAGTGTTCGTTACCTCTTCGGTCTACGTTTTGCAGCAATGTATACCTGCTGGGTTTGTTGGGGTATTTTTGGTACAGAATGTAACTGCCCTCAGACAGTTTCTGCCCTTTCTGTTAGTCCAAGGTAGGCAAGGAAGGAGTGTTTAGGTGAAGAGGCACCTCCCGGTGCAGTCTGAGGTCTGGGTGGATGGAATGTGAGATCGTAGTGGTTTTTGGGGAAAAACATTGTTAAAGGAATAAGGTGGGCAAACTCCGAGTTCCAGTATTTATCAAAGCACAGGGAAGTGCCGTTGATGGCCAGGGCTTTCACTGCCAAGTTTGGCTCTGCCCCGCTGCCGTGTGCAGCCGACATAGCCACTGTTTGCAGAGCCTGGGAGGCAGACATAACTGAGAGGGGTGACAGGAGGTTTCTGGAGCTGTTCACGGGTAGGAGTGGACTGGCTTCCTTGGAGGTTGAATACTGGCCCTTCTTCTCCTCTTCAGAGCAGTCCCCGTTCTGGTGCTTCTTCACGTGGCGGCTGAAGACAAAAGGATGGGTAGTCTTGAACAGGCACTCGTCGCAGCTGAAAGTCTGGCGTGGAGCATGCTTCAGTTTCTTGTGCAAGTTGAGATTGTCTTTGCGTTTGCAGCTGTAGCTGCACTGGTCACAGTGAAAAGGGCGCTCACCGGTGTGGACACGCACGTGCTCAATCAGCTTGTTGGCGGTCTTGGACAGGTAGCCACACTGGTCGCACTTGTAATGGTTGCCAAGGCGGTGTTCTCGGATGTGCACCTCCAGCTCCAGCTGATTTGCTTTCACCGTCTGGCAGATCCGACACTTGTACTCCATCTTGTAGTGAGTCTTCAGGTGGCACTCCATCGCTGCGGGGCGGTTAGTGGAGTAGATGCAGAATGGGCACCTGGCAACACAGCAAGGAAAGGCAGGGACAGAGAAACGACAGAGAAAAGGTCAGCTTGAAGACCTGCATTCCTGGTTTAACCCTGTCACTCAACCCCTCTCTGACCTACTAAAGAGGAGAAAAAGGCACTTAGTTCTCCCTGTGAAGCCTCTTTCGAATACTTGGTTCACCTTGACACGTCTCTACTTCAAGGAGGTTTGCCCATTTAATGGCAGTAGAGCTCACGCATCCCTAGGAAAACACTGACTCACTCTGAAGGAGCATCCCTTTAATCTTCTGGCTTACCTTGATGGGGAAGATTCTGCAAAGCAGGCCGGGTAGTGCAGAGTGGGTGACTGATTCACAGGTACTTTGTGTAACGACATTCCTAGTGTTTGCACGAAGTCACTTTGGCCATTTTTTCCATTAAGAAGTGGTTTAAAGTGAGTGTTTACAGATGAGTATGAAAGCAGCTGTTTAAGTAAAGATGGAATAAACTTGTAATACCACATGTATAGCAAAAGCTTAGGAAATTCCTTTTATGTGACCTTGCACAATAAGCTTGCTGGGTATCCTGCAAGGAGCAGCTGAAAGCCAGTCTATTAGGATGATCTGTAGGGATTCCCATTTCTGGGAGATGAGCTAGCCATGCTCAAAGGGGGGGCGTGTGTTTGGCAGCGTTTGCCTACAGCCGCCTCTGCCACGGCAGGAATTGTTCCTGTGTGGGAACAGGATGTGGGCTCCGCTTACTCACAGCGGCAAGCGTCCAGACCGGGGTGGATGTGGCAAAGGGCCTCACCCCTGGTTCCTGGACCAGGAAGGGCTGAGAAGGCCAGAGGAGGGAATCTTGAAAGCTTGGAAGGAAGCCCGAGCTGAACAAGCCTGGACACCAACAAACCCAAAACACACCCACTTTTGCTTTATGTAGCGGAGAGGAAGTTGGTGAGGACAGCTATCTGCCAGGGATCTCTGCTGTATTAAACAAAGCACGCTCCCTTCCAGATCTAACTGGTGAGCTAAAAGAACGGGGCTAGATAAAAAGGTACGACTAAGGCACCTGGCTACTGTCTTACAGACGTCTCCACCTGCTGCTGATCTGCGTTCACTGTTTAGCAGATCTGCCAATTGTGTTCTAGCGTTGCAGATCTTTTCTAAGCAGAGATCCCCTCTCTCCATGTATCTTTTCCCTGGCTACAACTGGTTGCACATACACGTTTAATATTAATCTACCTGCTAATCGAGAGACTTTTGAGCACAGTGAATAATACAGGAGGACAAACGGATACTAAAACATCTGGATGCTTTTTCTGATGCACATCAAGTACTCTGATCCAGAGAGGGAGCCTAGCATTGAGGCTGCTGATGTGATTAGCTCTATTGCAACAGAGGACTCGGCTGTCTATGCACACATACCTCTCCTGGGCTGGGTGCTCTCTGGATCAGAATCTCAGATTTTGACCTGGAGCTGGAGGAATCATGTGTTTTTTCTCTTCCCCCACAGCAAACAGGAGACAGAAAAATACAATTTACTTAGATCTCTTCAGGCTCTTCTGGATGCCTTAAAAAAAAAAAAAATCAGTGCTTTTTCTTAGGTGCAGCTTTCAAGGTACCTAAATATTACTTGAGTTGGGCAGGAATAACTTACGTAGACTGAGAAGCCCATTCTGTCAGGAAGGCCTGAGTCATAGGTCATGGTTTTTCCTTGGTAAATAGAACAGATTCTGTGCAGCTTAAACCCAAAGTGCACTAGACAACTGGTCTGTACGTCCAAGACAGACATGCTGTTGTTCTGGCACACTGCTTGTTTTTCAATCTGGTCTTCTTCCCAGATTCAGTCATCACATCTAAAGTGACCACAGAACCCAGTTCATGGAACTACTGAGCTGGAGACCAGACGCTGCCTGGCAAACAGAACCAGTTTTCAAAAACTGCATTGCAAACTGATAGAGCTACTCGTGGTAACATTAAATGTGGTGTGCTCGTCACGTGACAGTTACAATGCACTGAAAACATTAGTTTGCTTAGCAAGAGCAACAGAAGCAGGGAGTCCCGTGCTGAACCCTAGCTGGGCTCAAAGTGGTTCCAGCCTCTTTTCCTGCAGCAGCTGGAACAAACAGAGACCAGGGACGTGCATCTTGCAGAACGTCACATTGCCTGCCCACAGAGAGCAAGCATATGGCCCCAGCAGTCACTCCTTCCCTCAGGGGTCCAACCTTGACGTAAGGGCACACTCATTCTCTAGAAACACTGCTCTGCACCAACAGACCTTAAAGGACACCACCTTAGCAAAAGCCAAAGGGCTTTTTTCTTAAGAGAGTGTATTACTCGTTACATGCTAATTTATACAATAGTGATCATTCTGGGCCACGCAAACCAAAGCAGAAAGCATCAAAGTTATTAATTCTTGGAGAGGACTGACTTTGCCTTAGAGTCTACAAAGTTTATAACCTTTAAGGTTGTAACTTCATACCTAGTTGCAGAGACTATACAGGGTTTAGTTTCTTTGAGCCAGGTGCAGAATAGAGCCTGTGCTGTGTGCTCTCCTTTGATGCCTTGGAAAAAAAAACCCTCACAGTTTGCCAACAACTCTGTGTAGTGCTGCCTCATTCTCTGTAGGACCCATCACATACTGTCTCCTATTTGTCTTGAAAAGGGGAAGGACCACAGTTTGTTACAGCTCTAAGACCAGTGGATACTACACCTGCTGCTAGCTTACTGATCTGCTGTAATGATACAGGCCTACACTAGAGGACTGAGCTTGGGTCATCTAAACAAAAAGAAGCCCCAAATCTGGATTATCACGCATTTAACTAACCCTTTCCAATTGACTTCCTTTTGTCCTGTCCTTACAGTATTAGAGGTGCTTAACACAGTAAAAGTTTGTGTACTTGCTTTCCTTACTTGAGCCCACCGGTGGGGACAGTGTGGCATTTCTTGTGCTCCAGTAATTGTTCAGGTGTCTTCATGAACTTGTGGCACACATCGCATTCAAACATCCGTGTGATCAGGTGGATTTGCAGATGGCGCTCAAACATATTTTTTGTTTTGCAGACGAAGTTACAGAAAACACATTCAAAGCCTGAAAAATAAAACAAGAAAATGTATTCCTTGCATTGTGGCCAGATCGACTGCATAGAAGGTGACAGTTTGTATTTGTTTAACAGTGTTTCACCTTTCTCTGACTTCTCTTCAGTGTTCACTGAGGTCTGACTACCAGGCACTACAGAAATGACTAGCAGGTTGTTTGAACCCTTGGTTTTTGGGGTTATGTCTGCATCTTCTTTGCTGTTGGCAGAGTCGCTCAGTGCTGACAGCGAAGATGAAGACGGACTGTTAGATTCACTGGGTGTCTTCCTCTCTTCAGCTGAAAAACAAGAATAGAGAGCAATAACTAGTACAGCAGATTAGATAGAATCTCAATGATCCTGTTTTAAATTTCAGGGAAAATATTTACAGTTAATTCAAACATGCTTACAAACAAGTCTGAAATTAATTGATCTGTTAAAAGATCATAGTTGCACCTCCTTCCTTTTTATTAGCGTTTACAACAGTACATCTCTCAGTTTATCCTAGAGTTGAGTCTGTCGGTAATGGTAGTGGGAAGGAAGCATGCAACTCTACCTCATTACCAGGCTGAAAAAATCCCAAGAAAACACTTTGATTAGCTCAGAGTTCAAAAACAATGAAGAACTTGTCACTTGGAAAGGAAACAGAGCTTCTGTAGGTTTGGGGTGCGGAAACCAAAAGTGCCTACTGGTCCAAGCTAAACTTCCCCCACCTTTCTGTTTATGTGGGTCCAATGGGTGAATTTGGGAGGAAGGGCAAAGGAGAATAATCTGACTCATCGTACTGAGGAGCATCCTCAGTAATGATTGTTAAGAGATAACAGCGTGGTCTCAAGATTTATCTGTTTTTATTAGGACCTCTTATTGAAGGTAATTAACTTGAAAAAAAAGTTATTTAACCGGATCTAAAGCTGAAGCCCATCAGAGTTTCCTTGTGTGTGCAATAAATGTATGAAGTTCAAATCCCAAACCCTATCACACAACAGAAATGAACATGAGTGAGAGTTCTCATGTGAAAGCTGCCATGAGCCAGCAAAGCAAGGATGGGCAAATGATTACCTCCCACCTATGTCTTTCTTAGTTTAATCAGAGCTGTGTTAAAAAAGAGACTTTACTAGAACTTTGTATTGTCTATGTGCTAAAGTCCCCTGATCAAGGCCTCTGCAAACACCAGTTCCTATGTGCCTAGCTTTAAACTGATGAGCGGCACCTTTAAGATAAAAAATGTAGGAATGCACTAATGAAATCCGATGACCCAAGCTGTCAATAGGGAGGATGACTGGGATATCATATAGAAAGATTCACTGACCTTGGGGACCAGAGTAATAGAAATGGAATGAAATTTAATAGTACAGAGTACAAGGTTATGACCTGAAGGGCCAGTAACAAGAATTTTTGCTACAAATGAGGAGTGCTTAAGTTGGGAACAGTCACGGAAAACAAAAGAAGAATTTGAGCAGAACAGGGGATGAATATGAGCAATCAGTGTGAGAAAGCCTTCAAGGAAGGTAAATATGATCACAGAATGTTATTGTGTGAGCTATTCCCAGTAGCTGCTGCTGTTTTACACTGCCACCACTACTTATTTCATTTCACCATGTACAGCTGTGATTGCATATGTCGAGAGCAGGGGTTCTAACAAGAACATATGCTGTGAGGGATTGATACAGTAAGAAAACTGTGTTTCATATAAGAAAAGGCTCAATGTACATTTAGAGGGGAGAGGGTTGCTCTCCATAAATACTAAGGGAATAAGTACTGTGGAAGGAGGGAAGAAAGGTGGAGGGAGCAAGAGGTGGACTGCTGTTTCAGATAAAGGACAGTTCTGGCACAAGAACATGCATATATTCTGATTATCAGTAAGACATGCTGGAAATTTTAAAAAGGTCCCTAATCTTTAGTGCAGGAAAATCTGCAGCTGCCTGTCCGTAGTAGTTGGTTTAAAACAGTTATACTTGCTTGAAGACATATGCCAACATCCTTACAAACAGGCCTTTTATGACTTGGTAACATCACAGGATAAGGGACTGGAGTCAAGTGACCCAGAAAATCCATTCTATTTTTTACTCTCTGTATTTGCTGAATGTGTAAGCATTTAGCTGTATCACCAGCTGAATGGCTCAGTTTGACAGGGTAAAGGAAGAACAAGGGTTTTTTTGTCTTTCTTTAGAAGACAAGCAGCAGCTCCGATCTTTTAGCCATGATGGGAAGATACAGTAGAGTACAGCTCAGCTTTGAGCTCCAATGCAAGCTTTTCATGTGGCTATGGGTGGCATTTCTCATTTCCCTTGACTTCCTGTATATGAAGTGGAATTAGGTGCAAACACTCAGATAGAGGAGTAGTGCCGAGAGTTATCCTAGCATAAAATCCCTTGAAAGCTTTCCAGTAGTTTGTATTTCTGTAGTTACATTTAACTTATGGATCTGTGATCACAAACAACTGCATTGTTCTCTCCCTTGTCCTTCTCCACCCCTCGCTGTTTTCCCAATTTTATTCCTGGTAGGACAGGAAAAGCAATTTAGCAATGGAAAAATTGTGCTGCGTGCAGTTCAGGTTCAGTATTGTCAACACAATTGTTAGTAGTTTGTGGCAGCAAAATGCTTCTGCCTGGTGTTATAAGAGAAATTAATTAAAAGGATTCTAATTTTCTTCTCCTTAAATTATGCCAGACTTCATTAGCTGGACTAAGCATTTGGAGCTTGTCTGAAAACTGCTATTACTCTTATCTTTGGCTATTAATTGAACAGGACCAGGGAGAGAACACATGACTTGTTCTGTTATTTAATATAAAGTTACATTTACGGTATTGCTGAATCACAGCGTCAACTAAACATCAGCGTGAAATTCCAAACTGTTAGTCTGTGGAGGCAAACACACTGAAGAGCAAAGCTCAACATATTGTGTATTTCAAACTTATAGCCAGGTATGCACAATCAGTGCTCAAAGTCACCTTATCATCACTGAAGTCAAACCAGGATTTTGATGAAATAGTAAACCAGTCAGAAAAACAAACAAAGTATGCTGACTTCAACAGGGGAGGGGATTTGGGGGATAAGGGGAATAGGAAGAAGGAGGGCTAAGTAGTCCTCCATTTATTTCGCTAAGCTTGAAAATTGATCCGCACTACCAGATTATTTGCCTGGCTGGCTGGAGTCCAATTCACTTCAACTTTGAGAGATCAGGCCTTAATTAGCAAGCATTTCAGTGAAAGTAGAGTGCTAATGGGAACTGTGAAGGTTGCACCTAAAAAGCAAGGAAGAGAGAGATCACTGCAGCTGGGAGAGAGGGATCATCACCTGTGTGCTTGCTGTTGACATGAGCCTTCATATCTGCCTCTTCCATAGTGACAAAATCGCATGCTGTGCAGCAAATAGAGAACATCCACTGCTCTTTATCCACGTGGAGGGACATATGACTGACAAACTGGACATTCATCTCCGTCTCAAACCCACACACATGACAGCTGCAGGCAGAAGGGAGTTCAAGAGTAAGAAATATTAAAAACCAAACCACAAACAGAAGCATATTGCCTTTCCCTCAATTTGCAAGAAAAACTCACTGCAAAGATTTCTTCTCTTCCTCACTGTTGAATGTTCACTGCAAAATTCTTTTGTCTGCTGAACTGCCTTTGAACTGATGGCCATGCCAGTGTGATTAAGGGCAGGCACAATGCAACAATCCTGTACATGCTATAATGATGCTAAATAATCATAAAGTTAATTAAAAACTACAGATTCCAGATGCTGCGCATCACCTAGCTGATTCCTTTGGGCAATAAGAGGCATTGCAGCTTTGCCAAGATGTTTAGTATGGCTGATACACTGACAAACGGAGAGCTTGCTGCACACTCCAGGAGTTATTTTCAAGCCCTGGAATGGTTCCCATGCCAAACTGGGATCCTGTGCAAAACTGCCTGGCAGTTTCAGTATAAGCAAGTAAAAATGGGTTCAAACATTTCTTATGCTTGACTGGAAAACAGCAGTCATCAGCTATGCAAATAATTAGCAGGGATACAGATTTCACAGCCAGTGCATAAACAGAGTGATATTGAGAGGCAATGGAAAGGACCCTTTAATTTAACTTTCTTTGCAGAGTCCTCCTCTTGCTTTGATTAGGCCATTAACATTTAAAACAAGCCAAAAACATTTTAAAAGGCATATACTCTAGGGCACTATTTTGCTTTCCCAGGGGGATGGACTAGATAATCTAATCCGGCAGGTCTCATTTATTTCTTACTTCTATGATTTTGTAATTGAATCTGCTCTTGGCACTTTGACTAAAAGTAAGAGTGATTTGGTAATCTACTTGGCCACTAGAGTGCATGTCACCGTTTGCAGAGTGCACAACAGTGGATACAAGGAGAATGTCCAAACATCCATTTCATCTGGGCAATTCCTTTCAATTTTTCAGACAAATTCTCCTAAAGGTTTTCTTTCTTTCATCATGTTGGTTACTGACTGTATATCCCTCTAGCAAATGGAGGAAACGTGTATATTGATATAACAATTCTTATTATGCTTTACTATCTGATTTCATAGATTTGGCTGAAAACAATGGCGTTGTCAGAGGCAATTGGAAGCACACTGCTTTAGATTTGCCGTGAATCTGTGTATGTGATGGGATGTTTCCAAACACAAAACTTAAATGAACACTGCATAAAAAGTTAAAGAGGCTTCTAAAAGCCCATCTGCCTCCCAAAGCCATTTAAAAAAAACCAACCCACACCAAACCCCAGAGTCCTTCCCAATGGCTAGCCAAGTCAAACAGCATGAGGCAGCCAACTGGGTTTTGCTGCTTAGCCTAGGTCAGATACAGGCAAGACAACTTTCATCACAGTTCCGCCCTCCAACACCAGAAGGGTGGCCCTGTAACACGTCCTTAGCAGGCAGGCAAGACATGCAGATGCCAGCATCTGGTGCACAGCCCTTGTCTGGGTCCTCACCTGTAGTAATAAGGGTGCTTCTTTCCATCGCTGCCTTCAGAAGTGACAGCGCTGACAATGTCCTCAGTGTCTGTACTCACCAGCTTCACAGAATGGACGGTCAGGTGCTGGTTCAGGTTAGCACGGCACTTAGCAGCATAGGGGCACAAGTGGCATTTGTATTTTCTCTCTTCTGAAAAAGAAACAGAAAACCTTAAATGTATACTTCACTTTGAAGCAAGCTATTTTCAAAGCCTCCAATAACCAAGTACGCATTCCTTTGGGTTTCTCCAAGCAGCTTTCAGAACGAGGTACTTTCGAAGCTCAACATTTTTGAAACTTAAAGGAGTTCACAGCAATTACTCAGAAAAAAACTCATTTGGAGGTAGTTTAGGGCTAGTTTTTTTAACTTGCTCTACCATTTGTAGTCAGATAATATAAAACTTTGTAAAACTGGGGCAACTGCTGCTCTGAGAGCTGCAGCACAGCCAGTAGAGAAACAGGTCAATAATCTACATCTACTTCCTTTACTTAGCATGTTTTATTTGATTTTGGGGTCTGGTTATCCTTGAGGTTGCCCATGTGATCACTTGCAGAGAGTTGGTGGTTGATGATTTTGTATTAAAATCTGAGGGTGGGGAGGAAAGGGAACACTTTCATTAGGCCAGTTCCGAACACCAACGAAAAAAACTCAAAGAACGGTTGAAGAAATAAACAAATTCATCATGAGTTTCTGATGCGTCACAACTTAAACAGTTTACAATAAAAATTATTTTATTTTAAATTAAACGTTTCTAAATTCTGGCAGCACATTTTTTGTACATGCCAAGCTTTATTTTGCAAAGAGTTGATTAAAATAACCAAACATTACATCAGCTTTTACAACCTTTCCCTTTGAGGAGCTGCTGCTGTAAATATGAAATACAATGCTGCAAGTGTTAAGGGAAAGGCATTCAATAGAGCAGCTTAGAACTAAGAAAATCCCATGACGCCACGGAACACAGCATTTGAACATTTTCAGCATGGCTCTACTAGACAGTACAGCATACATTGGCATTATACCAACAGTATTTTTCAGCACTGCATCAGAAATTCTTGCTTTCAAGTCTTATTTTGTGCAGTGCACCTCAGCAGGCAAACAAGGTGCATCTTCCGTATAAAAACTCTGTTAGTCTCAGTTGATACGAAGCTGATTCACTTTAAGAAAGTTGGTATGGGGTAGAACAGCCCCTGTTCCTCTCAGGAGAACTGGATGGTGAGAGGAAAGATGAATGACAGATATTAAATCCTTTCAGTTTCACCAGATCTGAAACACCAAGGCCAAATCTTTTGTTGTTCAGTGACATTTAAAAAGCTCATCAGGTGAATGTAAGAAAAGCTGTGCCTTCTCTTCAGAATTCCATTAACAGGCTTGGTTAACCAGTTGGTATCTACAGGCTGGTCTGCTGGAACCTGGACAAACTTGAATTCACACGTTTTGTAAAGATAAATTACAAGAAGGCTGTAAAGAAATAAAATGTTAGTTAATCCCCTGAACACCACTCTGACATTCTGTCCTGTTTCTGAGCTTGGCTCTGCCTTAAGTGCAAGGAGCTGAGGATGGCTCACACGCTCTTCTGCTTACCTTCTTTCCCCTCCAGTTAAACAAACCATGATGAACACACAGATTTCCTCACTGCTGTAACAACCAACCACAAAGCATCGGCTTACCTGTGTGCAGTGAGAGATGCCGGGACAGAGTCTGCTGTCGACCAAACACTTTTCCACACACATCACAGGGAAAGAGCTGGTCGTTAAATTTCCAGGATGGCAATCCATTTCCCACCTCCAGCCCCAGCTTTTCTGTTTCTATGCCAAAAACCACATAAACAGAAAGTCATATTTTAAGAACTTGCAGATTTCATTCAATAGAGTCCTGTAGGTGTCATATAAAATGCAACACCTCGGCTGCATGCTGTGTAATCTGGCATATGAGTTCATGTGAAAAGGAAATTAATCTTTCATACAGCATCTTTCATATGTACTCTAAAGCAGAACACTTAGTCAAAGTGTTCTAGACATAGATATAGTCAAAGAGTTAAACCAGATTATGTAAAGAGAGAAAGTCAAGAGCTAGCAGGGCAAAGCATTAACCTCTAATTCCGTTTTTGTGGCAAGACCACTCCTTTGGCTTTTTCAATCACCCACCTTTGCCTGCTGCATGAAGAAGGCCTGGTCTGAGACAGTGTTCTGTTTTACACTGGGTTATTATTCATGGCTGAAGGAAGATTTCCAAACCTTTTCTCTTCTACTGATGCAAGAATTTTTGCTACATGAGCAGTCTTACATTGAAGGAGAACAGAAGATTGCTCAGACAAACGGTAAACCAAGAGGACACAGCACACTAATAAGTGGGTGGCATCTGGGGTAAGATCTACCCAGCACCTGCTGTCCTCAGGCATCAAAATCCCCAGCAGCTTAGAGGGCCATCCACTGAAAAAATGAGACCCAGAGCAAGCCATTATCTTTAAAGAAGTGTTTTTAATTGTTTCAGGAACACAGAGAGTCTGCCATACAAAAAAAAAAAACCCCAAACCTACACACAGCATAAAACACAGACATGAAGGCACTCCGTAAGGAAGTAGAGAGAAAAGGACTGGGAATGAGGAAGAGAAAAAAAGGTACACAGTGCTTCAAGAAGTTAAAAGCATGGCCAGTTTTGATCTGGACAGAAGGGAGCAGAGAGCTGATGGAGACTAGGGGGTAGCAGTGATACTAATTAGCTCAATAAGAGAAACAGTATCAGCAAGCCTTGTGTAAAGAAATATTCTCTGCAAGGGTCTTGTTGCTTGAGGAGAAGGGACCTCTGTTGTAAGCGGTGCACAAAATTGCAAGGGTACCCAGCAGCTTTCCAAATGCAACAGCCAGTGGTGAGGGGGCTTGGTTTAAGACTTACTTCTGGTAAAAGACCTTCTATTTCCACTGGAAGGAAAGATGCCACATGTAGAGCACCCTTCTCTAAACCGACACCGCCTGTGGGATTGCTGCCCAGAACTAGCTCCACCAGTGCATGTGTGCATGCCGTGATGGAGAAAAACCATTTGGCTGGGATTTTGAGGTAAACAGGAGCAGAGGAGCTGAGTACAGGAGTACAAAAACATCTTACTGAGTGTAAGTTACTATTGTGGAGGTTGGCAGAGACCAGCCAAATCTTCATCCGAAGAAGCAATGAGGAATAAACACCCTCCTTGTACAGGCAATCCCTCACTGACAGAGTCACCTACCACTGCAAATTTGACTGCCACGTCTGAAAGAGTCTCTCCTTCACAGATAAGTGTCCAGACGGCTCCGCTGTGGTTTATGCAAAGAGCTGTCAAATACTGTAGTTAATTTAAGCAATAATAAAAACAATGCCTCATTTGGGGCAGAGATTCCACATAGCAATTGCAGCAAGTTTAGGGATGGTCATACTTGCCAGCCCCTGTTCAGCTGCTGTTACTTTCTTCTGTGACGCTGTAATATGTACAATATTCAGCAGACCAGAGGAATTATGAGGCACCTCTGAGTGCTACCACCCAACAACACATTTTTCTTAAAAGAATTTCTAGTTAGAGAACAAGTTCTGCCTACTCAAAATAGTAATTCTGTGAAATTAAAAAGGAAGACCCCCTATCCCCTAAGGGCTGTAAGTGACCCATAACCTCCAAGAACTTCAACAAAGAATGATTCTTTTTGTTACTATCCTTGAGATCTAAACAATGGAAAAATCTGACTCTGTACTAAAGCTACAGATATTTTAGCAGAGCTTTTTGAGTACATAATCAAAAGAGGAATATGGTAATAATTATAAGAGAAGGTCACAAGAGTGTAGGTTGCTTCAATATGGTCACAACAAAAATTGAATTAATTGGGACACATACCAAACAGGCAGGCTCAGTTAAGTAAATACGTCTCTTAACAATTCACTTCAGCATTAGTCATCACCCCTCTTTTATCTCTTAAGAAATATAATATTCTCTTCCCTATGGTGGATTTATAGCTATCAGTTCTGGGAAGCTGGAAAAATATCAGCTTTCTGATTATCTCGAGCTGGTGAAAGGTAGTCCCTTGCAAAGCAGCTGCATATTTTTCATTCATGCAAAAGAGGATGCTGTAGGTGTTTTGAAGTACTTGTATTTACTTTAAGGATTTATTCCTGGAGTCCTAACTACAGTGCTTCTTTCTTCTCCTTCGACTGAATCTTCTCTCTGAAGCAAAGTGCTTTTTCTATTCAGCAAGCTGCTTAGCTTGTTCATGGCAAACCAGAGTTGGTCTCTGGTGCAACAGGAACCTCAGCACTTCATGGAAGATTTCTCAGCTCCGAGGGAAACCACCTACTTCCACCCACCATACCCTCTGGGCAGCTTTGTCTGCAGCCTGCAAACTGGAGCTCTGTGTCCATACTGTGGTCCAGAAGTCTTCCCAGAACATACCCAGCAACTGACCTCGCCAGTGACCTGAAGAATCAGGTGAGTCAACATCCACATTCAGTCCTTGGGCTCTGTCTCTAATTAATGCCGGGGAGTGGTGTTTTCTGCGAAGTGAGTACAAGTCCAGTGACTCTGAGACCATAATACTGGTTTGTGCACAGCATTCTCTGTGTATCCCAAAGCACGCTACCAAGACAGTCAGCATTGTTATCCTTTAAGAATATCTTACACAGTGGCCAGGAAGAAGATGGACTGAGACCAACTAATGTTAAATAATAAATCACCGTTGTGAGAGATGTCCCACAGAAATTTCTCTTTCACCACAACATCCCTATACTAAAATGAAGGAGGGGGGGGAGGACTTGATGTAAGATTTCTGCTTTAAACAAATACTCCACAGCAAATTCCAAAACGTCTATGTTAGAAAAGCATACATGACAAAATAATATTGAAATTATTAAGTAATAAACTGCCTTTCTGTATGGGTTTTGGAGTCTAAACCAAAATATGCTTAGTAAAATGGAAGGTCTCCAAGTTCTCCAGTAGATCATTAAAAAGTAATAGGAAGATTAAGACTCAGTATATTACAGGCTAGTAATAAAATTATTTTGAAATCATTTTGCATAGAAGTCTTAAGAGCTAAAAATTTTATGTAAAGGTAAAACTTAATTCTCAATGAAATTTAGTGAAATACATCTTTATGGACATCTTTCCTGCCCTTCTGTGTCACCTGGTATCATTTCCCTACTAACCGCAAGTCAACTTCATAACGAGTAGCTGTGTAAAGCTGATCATCCAAGATGAGGTTAGAAACTGCCGGGACTGTCACCATCTGTATTTTCCCTGAGGTGAGGATAAGGTGCACACCAACTGCAGAAATACTGTTCTCTCCCTCCTCTTGCCCCTCCAGATAGATTGATTTCTGGCAAACAAAGCCCAGCAGCTTGAGAAAGTTACTATTTACCCCTTTACTAAGCTGCTGGGCATAATTCTGAACATGTATGTATTTTCAGTTTTCACATTTAGTGATTTTTTTCTCTTATCCTCAAACTGGTAATATCAATATGGAGAGTGCATTAACCACCCCTTCTGAAAAGCCTTTAGCTTGACTTTTGTCAAGAAATGCTGAGAGAGGATACCATATCTGGTTGAAGCTGTAACTGAAGAAGAGAACAAAGTGTGACCTGAATACATAAGTAACTGTCTAGAGTCACCAAATCAGCCTTCTGACTGCTAGTAGCTGTCATGCACAAAAAGTTCTCCAGGGACTGGATTTGGACTCTGATATGTGGTACTTTGATTACTTATTTTCTTTTACTTAGCTTACATATTTTTCAATCACTGCTTCACAGTGTTTATACTACATTATGTTTTAATCTCTTGTTCAATACTATGCCTACCTTTACAGCTTTATACTAATAACTGAAAGAATGAAACCACTATTTAACTGAAAAAGACAAAGCTAAGAAAACAGAGTATGCTGAAGTGTCATTCAGAGAAGATAAAGTCGTATTTATAACTTTTGCTGGTTTACTGTCTGCTCTCACATCCTGTAACTCATTTAAACATCTGCTTCTCTGTTTCATCTTCACACCTCCATAGACCTCAGAAGCAACAGAATCCACAAGGGCAGATCCTTATGGTCACATGGAACCCTACAGATATAAATTAAATAGATTGTCCTTTGCAAAAAGTATTCCTTAAAGAGGTGGAAGTGAGAGGTGCTGATGAGCCATAACAAGGAAGGTCAAAATTTATTATCTCTCCATTCTTCTGGAAGTGTATGTCATATTTATACTTTGGGTTATTCAGACAGTTTGACACCACACAGATGGTCAAGAAGAAATCAGGGAAGTAATTTTGAAAATGAAATGAGCAGAAATCCTGTGAAAGGAGCAAACAGACAGTGGTGGTTAGACTATTTTCAATCAATCCTGCTTGCAAGCCAAATGCGATCAAGAAAAGTTAGATGTCCAGAGGATCTGGTGACAGAACAGCCACCCAGGGTGAGGCTGAGACAGCTAAGAGGGAGAAACGGCCAAACTCAGAACAGGAGGTGAATTGGGAAAAGGCAGATGATAGCTGATACAGAAGAGAAGGAGAGGAAGTGTGCAGTACCTCCCTCCTCATACTCCAGGGGGTAAAACTTGATGCGAAGAATACGAGATGCAGAAGGAAGCTCCCATGGGAGAACGCATCTAAAAAATTCCACCAAACCAGAAAATGGATAAACTGAGTGAGAAACAGTGCTGGACAAGGTAACCAGGTTTCTATGAGCTCATGGCAAGAGGATGAACACTACCAGTAATGCAGATGTCCCACAGCAAGGCACTTCACTTTGCTCTGAAAGACATAGGACATTAAACAGTCATCAGATAACTTTTGGTTACTACCACTCTG